AATCCATTGACTTTTTTGTATATTTTTCTACAGAGAACTATAACTTCAAGAATATATCCTGTAGCTTAACCCCAGCAAAATTATAAAGGATGTCAAGTGAGCTTGTAACACTGTCTCAAAATTCCACTTTTACAACCCTGTAATTTCATGCTACATATGGCATCTCAGAAAGAATACATAGCTTACATGGAGCAACATGTTGCCACAGATAAAATCCAGTTCAGGCAGCATCAGTTGCCCCCAGTATCGTTTGCTAGGTTTACATGTGCAGGGTCCTCCAGAGCATGGCACCTTGGAGCAACACTCTGCAGAGACACATGAGGGCATGCAGTTATATCCAAACACATGGTTAAACTTGTCTGCAGACATTACTGCGTGGTCACTCCCAAGTCATCCATTACATGCTTTTTGATACCTCTTTGAATAGATTTAATTCACCCAATCATCATATACCCAAAGACATCCTGGAACTCAGTCTCGAGAATGTGCTGGATCCTGTACCTGTGATCGAATACACGTACACATAGAAAATGTGTTAGGAAGTATAATCCATGGAGTGGTCCAGATTCTGAAAATATAAGTTAAACTGCCTAGGCTTTTGTATATAATCAGCTTACAAACACTATAACTCTTGGCTAACTAAAGAAATGACAAATTTTTTTCCCAGCTAAATAAGAAAAGTCAGCTAAATCTGGGAAGTCAAGACACCCAAGTATCCACTTGACAGAGACAGTGCATGTAAGTTGAAAGGGATGTCTAAGATGTATAATCAGAAGAGGGCAACAATTTTACTCATTAATGAAATATAACCAAGCATTACAGGCCTGCACCTGTATGGAAGTCTGACCATCAGTTTCCTCAGGGCTGTCCAGCAGGAAAACAATTGCATCCCAGATATTAATAGCTAAGCCAACACTGTTAAGATTTGCATTTTGTAATTCTACTTTTCTCTGTAAAGAAAGCCATCTTTTTCACTAGGAAGAATGCCTGTGGAATCAGGCCTGAATGTTATAACATTAACTCTTTCTAAACCACCAAATGTTAACTTCTAGGAATGATCTCTTGACTTAAGAGTAGGGAGTATACCTTTAGTTATTTTTTGTAGCACTGAAAAGAAAGAGGAACCAGAACTAAAATAAATTATAATTTACCTTGCTACTCTACTCTGCAGTATCTTGTCTTTTACTAGAGTCTTATCTCAAGTAAAAGCTACCTTCAGTAAAATTCCTTGTGTCTTCCAACCATTAGTTTGATTCCAAGGTTAAAGAATTTCCATGCTCTCTCTTTAAAATTGCTTTGAAATAAGTAAAATCGGTTCACAAAATACTGATCCTGTATATTCTCACACTTAAATTTTTTTATTGTATCAAATAATATGAAAGAAATATTACAGCACTGACACATATTCTTAAAAGGAGTATGAACTTCTAAAAAATAAACTACAACTCTCTTTTAAGCTCAAATGGAAACCAGAGAATAAGCCTCATCTATTTTTATTCATGTTTTCTGCATTCCAATGATCTCAACACTATCATTTTTTCTGCTCTTGCTTATCCCATAACAATAGTGATCCAAAGAGCACTACTGAAGGTCTTCTCATGTAATGGATATGAGACCACACTTGGATTTTCTTGCTATGATAATCTGAAAAAATCAGTTCCTAGTGTCCATGTTAATGAGTTCAGATCTTTTTAACTCACTGAACCCTTATTTCCCTCTCGTTTTTATATTTTTTTAATTTTATTTTTTTATACCTATATTTTTAATCTCCATTATACTTGATGGGCTTGGTTAGCAGAGTTACAAGATTAGCAATTTTGTAGGAATTTAAGATTGTATATGCCTGAGGAGAAAAGAGCATTGCTTATTCAGGTTTTTGTCATATTTCAGGTGTATTCAGTTCTCTCTTTGCATAGAATATACATTATACATGTTCTGGAGAATATATGCTAGCCATAGTTCAATGAAATCCAAAATGCCTTGTCAGGTGATAAATATTATGATGATGATTCTAATATCATTATTATTTTACAATTAATTACTCCCTTTGTGCCCACCTATAACAACAAATCAACATACCCTTTACCCATAAAACAAGTGTTCCTACCTGAATACACTAAAAGAATTACAGACCAGAATAAAAAACACATTGGTGTAAGTATTTTGAGTGTCAACTTCTTAATATAATGACAAATGACAAGAAATAATAACAAAATATTTTGAAAGGACATTAAACATGGGCCTTTTAAGGCATATATTGTAAGTCTAACAGACAGTCCTGAGAAGGGTTATGATGGCCTACTTTCAAAAAAACTTCTGACACAGATTTAGTTATAAAACATGAATGAAGAAAAACACTGAAATAAAATTATACTTTATAGAACACCTGGAAAAGACTTTCAGATACAGACAGACATTTCTTCACTAACTTCCATATGAGCACACAGTTTATAAAAGCCTGATAGCTATAAATATGATCACAACTTTCTGTAGTAGTATTATCTTTTGATATCTATATGCTTTTTCAAGCCTGATATGTAAGGAGATACTTAGCCAATCCATTGAATGGTGTAATTACTTCAGAAACTACCTAATAACATTTATATTTTGACCACTTTCTACACAGCACCAGTGCCTTGCCACCTGAGTATCCACTGCCTCTCAGTTCCAGAAAACTGTACTTACAGGACATCTACAGCACATTAGTGTTTTGTATCCAGCTTGTACCAGTACATGATTCCTTGTGCAGGCACTTACCATCTGAAAACAGGAGCACGATGAGACAAACCAGAGAAATTTATAAGTTGATTAAATACATTAATAGCAAGTTTTAATCCTCTGGCTTTAATGTACAATACCGGTGTCCAACATCTTTAAGATGTACCAATGGATGGGTTGGATGGGACCTTAAAGACCATCTAGTTCCAACTCCCCTGCCATGGGCAGGGACACCTTCCACTAGACCAGGTTGCTCTAAACCCCATCCTACCCAACCCTGAACACTTCCAGAGATGGGGGATACACAAATTCTTTGAGCAACCTGTTCCGGTGTCTCACCATTCTCATAGTGAAGGAAGCTTAAGATATGCAAGACATTTCTTTGTGAAGTGACCTCATGCTCACCCACCCAACAGGTCACCACTTTGTGTCACTAGACACAGCACCATACACACACCTCATCCAGGGGCTGAATGTGGCCAGAGGCTTGCTCACCATATGGCCAGCATGCTTCCATCACCCAACCATTTACATGATGGATGTGCCTGTCCTGTTAGGTGCAGCCACATGGGGCCACTAGAATGGGCCTCTCAGAGGTGATGTCAAACAGGGCAGCAGGAGATGGTGTGTGCTAACAGCTCTACGAAACACAAACAACAAACAGCTCTACAAACCAACACGAGAGGCCCTTTCAGAAGGTAGGAGGCAGCAGGAGGTGCACTGGCTGCTCTCATTAGGGCCTGGCACAACCCAGCCCTGAGCTGTCAGTGATCAGCAGAGGGAGAGGGGCTGCCAGGCAGAACCAGGCAGGCTCCCCGGTTTCTGCTGCTCTTCTAAGAGCACTGAAATACAGGTCCTTATTCAAGAGTTTCAGAACACCCTATTCACAGTCAATGGGTCAAAAGACCTTGAGTACTTTTGAAAGAGTTATATTTCACATTTGTCCCTGACTTGAACATCTAATAAATTGTTGGGCAACTGATTGGATATAACAGAGAGAAAAACTTCAGAGTAAAAGTCCCAAGTAACAAAGACAGCATGGTATTTAAATAAAATCTACGCCAGGCACACAATACAGATTCTCTCTAGTGCTGAGACATATTTGAACAGTGTACAAAGAGTTGACATCCTTCATTTAATAGCTCTTACAGTAAGAGAGACCAGATTAGATCAGAAATAGTAATGTAGTGCAATGTATTTGACTTGATATTCAAATGTATCAGTACAGTTACATAGCTCTGTACTATCGTATGAGTAAAATTTAGGTTTCTAGGTGAGCAAGTGGCTGAAACCTTTTTTGTGTCCAACCAGACACTTCCCAAATTTGCCTTAAGGTAACTTCATCATCTGCCTCTCATTCATTTGAACTCAGAGAAAGTAGAAATGTACCTGAAATTGCTGTTTCCATAATCTGCAAGTGAGCAGATAAAACATAAGACTGCTGCAAAGACTTGCCTACTGATGGAGTCATCAGTGTCTGCATGATATCCAGAGCTTTCACTGTATACATTCTTTCCCCGCTTCTTCATTCCCTCCTGTCTCATATTGCATTCAGTAAGTCTCACAGTCAAGGTCCCTGCTCTCTTTTGGTACTCCTCCTTCTTCTGCGCTGTTATCGTTCTTGATTACCCTTCCTTTCCTCATTTCTTAGTTATACTCTTTCCAGGTACTTTAAGTTCCCCTCCTACAAAACTTTACTTTAAAAATTTACCACAATTTCTGACAGTGCAAACTATTGTTTTTCTCTATTTACTTGTACATTAAAACCTTTATCACTTTGGTTTCATGATACAAACTGTAAACTTTCAAGAGAACTGAAAAATCTCTTATCTATGTTTGAATGGTGGTTAGCACAATGGAAACTTCAGATGGGACCTCACACAGCCAGACACTATAAACCTATTTTGAAGTATATGACAGCATTGCAACATTTTTTCTTAAATACTGAACATACAATATATCTTATCTATATACCTTGAAATAGATAATATATATGCATAACTATATGAATTGCTTAAACACTTTTTTATATGTATGCCATTCAAATACAAGTAATTTTTTTTCCATGCAAAATACACTTGTCCTATGCAGCTTCCTTAATTGTCAATGAGAGCTTTTCAGAGTGCATTATATGGATTTTCCCCAAAATAGGAAGAAATAGGAAAAATGTATAAGATTTTAAATGCTTTAGGCATCAAAGCAGAAAAACTCTCCATTTTCCTAGACAGAATATTTCAGTATCAAATTTGAATGGAGATAAACAGAAATGTGGAAAATGTATACTACTGGTGAATACGCTTGTAGCCTGAAAAGAAACAAGTTAAAAAGCAATAAACCAGTTGTACTAAAGTAATAAGATATAGCATATCATTTTGTTCAGGAAAATTGTTTTTTTTCAAAATAGGGTTGCATGTTCAAATGTGAACAAAAACTCATTTTGAAATACACAAACATTATTTGTGATAAAAGCAAAGGCATTCTGCAACATTTCACAAACTGCTGTAAGGACTCCCCCCAAACAGAAGTACAGCTCATGTTGGTCCCTAAGAAGCAAGGAGTTAGTGCATTAAGCAGGTTCCAGCACGCAGCAAATAAAAGCTTCTGTCCAACCTGAAAATGACCTTTGCTAAAAAAAAAGAATAAAAAAGAAAAAAATTCAGTAAATGTCCAGAGAACAAAGATCTTTGGCCATTTTCTTCATTCCACAGAATATTGTTGATTAGGCAACTTCAAGAGGATCTCTAAATGATAAAACTGTAACACATACATATAATGTACATTTAAATGGAAAATTGAGAGAGAAAAAAAATCTGGTTCCTACCAGTTTGGCTGAGTTGTGATGTGCTACGGCTTTTTCTTGAGAGACCCACGATGGCGACCATCTTTGCACCGATGCTGGAGCGTCTCTTTTTGCTGCCACCACCAACAGTGCCCACTGCCGTGTCCGACTGGCTGCCATCATTCTTCTCCAGTGTGTACATGTCCCCGCTGATGCTGGTGCTCTTAGTCATGTTCTTTCCTGAGGTGCCCATCTGTCTGCTTTGCATTTTGGATGTAAAGACACTGTCAGCCAGTAGACGGATAAACAGTGCAAAGAGTAAAAAGGGGAAGACAGAAAAGGACAGGTTTCAGAAGGAAGGTTTTGGGAGACTGGAGGGTAAAAGAAACTAACCACACAGGTAGGGTTAGGCTTTGAGAGGTAAAAAGGAGCAACTTGAATTCTAAATTCTCATTTGGTCTACTCTGAAAATACTTGACTCATCAAAACTTTGCTTTAAATATCAAATTCAATAAGAAATTGTTATGTCAATAATACTGATTGACTTAAAGCATATTACCAGTAAAAGCAAATAAAAGAATTAATACATCTGTATATCATACAATCACTTTTCGCTTGGAAAATTTAAGTTCTGCAGTCAGTGCTCTGCTGCTCGTCTTACATATATATACACACAAATAATCTATATCCCTCTGGGAAGCAGACACTTGATTAGTTACAGAGTGGAGAAGGATATCAGTCTGAAGCCTAGCTTTGGTTTCTAAACATTCAGAAGGATGTTTTCAGTAATCTGGTTTAGCTCAGGCATCATACAGTAATGAACACCCCTAGGTGTCCCTCTCTTCATCAACAAATACAGATACTAGATATGGATTTCATACAACACTTGGCTTCTGTGTGACACAGATCATCATTACTGATAAAATGGAATTTACTTCTAATATACCTTCTGTATTCATTTATAGACTGTTTCTATGTGCTTTGTGCGGCTGCATCTAAATTATCTGCTGCAGCATTTCACAACATGTCCCAGGAGGAACATGTTGTTATACCAGTGGTCTAGGCTGAGGGAGCTTTCATTTTCACAAAAATGGCAATCTACACTGATGACAGCAGTGTTTATCTGAATTTTGCCCTGACATCAAACTGGTAGGTGTCTGGACAAACATCCAGACCTGGAAACTCTGGAGTACATACAGGCCTGAAAATACATAGAGAATTTTCTTTTTCAGTGCAGTTCTTGCATAGAATGTAGACCTTGATTACTCTTGTCATTACTGTGCATCTCTCTAAAAAATCCCCATGGCATGCAATTTTAAACAATCCACAAAACAGTGCAAGATTTCTGGAAATCTGGGGAAGTTATTTTTGTGTTAAATCACCAGTATATAAGGACTAACAAAGAATATTTTTGCTTTTAAAACAGATTTTCAAATACATGCAAAGGCTGTTCCTAGAGGTCCACTGCTCAGCAAATGGCTCTAGAGTAAATTTTAGTGGGTATAGCCTCATTTCTTTTCCCTTACCTATAATGGCCTGAATCTATTTCAAAAAGGAAAGTTTTATTGCATTTTTATGAAGTCTTTTCAAGATTATATTCTGTTGCTAAAAACTATCCATGGAATTAATGCAGTACCCTCAAAAGCAAAGGGATCATTGGGTCTCTTCCCACTAATTGAAGGAAATTAAGCAACTCTTTAATATATCTCAGAGGTATCCATAAAGTCTTCTGCTCTTTAGTTGACACATGCAAGTGCATGAAGACACAAAATCCTTCTAGTTTAGCTACAGCCCAGAGGGAAAGATAAAAGCTAGTTGAAAAAGCAGATCTCTACCATCAAGTGAAAAAATATTGAGTGTGCTTCTCAGGGAAGTTGCCAGGGAAAATATGAATGAGAGTTTGGATCCACATATGGAGAAGCACAAAACAAAGCTGAGAGCTGAGCTACTTGTCAGATGATAAGATCATATACTGACATTATATGCTGTTATTTTCTTTCAAACTAACACCTTTAGGGATTGATTCAGAGAAACAAGATGACACAGAAACTAGTTCTCAGTGTCAATACTACCTTTCATATAAAAATTTCTAGAGGTATAGAAAGAACATTGCTCAGAAGACATAGTATCTTCAAATTTACCTTATGCAAAATTCTACTAAGAATCAGAAAATTAGAGCCCCTTATCCAGTAATGCTATTTTTAATCCAAGTTCTTTAAGAAGAGGTGATTAATATGTATTTTCTGTCAGGTCTCTCTCTTTTCAATATTTTTTAAAATCAGTTCAAGTTTGACAGAGCAGTAGAAAACTAAAGCTGTTTAGTTTCTAAAATAGTTTTGAAAATAGATCTCCGGAGAGAGACCTTATGATTACCTACTTGGGGACAGATTGCAGTACAAGTCACTGTTGAATCTGTTACTTCATGTGGAAACTCGTTCTCACACATGGACTAATGAGGCTAGCAACTTTTCCACTGCTTGCAGAACAATCTATTTCAGCGATCAATTTTTCAAATAATACCCAGAAAATCAGTGGGTTCCTGTCATAGGGAAATTAGTAATTGATGCATTGTTTTGTAAGTGATACTAACATTCAAGAGAGGTCTTATGTTGTAGCAGTGGAAACAGAAATACTCCGTTTTCTCATACAAAAGTTACATGGAGGAGAAAGTTCCCATTTGCTGAGTTTATTGTGCCTTTGAGGTGCTCTGCGTGTCCTCTCCAAGATGTATAATGCTATTTAACTGGAATGGTTTACAATAATTACCCTTATTAAAGAAATCAATGTGTATAAAGAGGTTGGCAAGCAAACAAAGTTGCTATAATTTAACTATGAATTTAACTATGAAAGTACTCTGAATTACAAAAATTTGCTCCTTGGCTTCTGTCTAAAGGCTTCTGTATCACAAAATGAAGTTTTTGCTGTGTACACCTGCCAACAAGGAGGTAGACTTCATTCAGCCACCTTCTGACCAACTGAGAAAAGTAGTAAAGGGAATTCACATGAGGAAAAAGGGATTTAGGTTTAGATTTCTATGGATATACCAAATACTGGTACAAATGGCTAATATTGAAAGTTCTTTCACAAACTGCTATTTTTTTCCTCAGCAGAGTTCTAAAACTTTAATTAGAGGGTTTTTTTCCCCCACCTTCCCCACATAAAAGCAACAGAGAATACATCTGTGTTATAGTCCTAACTAGCAAACAGCTCCTTGAGCAAGTCAGCATATAGCAGTGGCTTTATTTTTTGGGTCATTCTCAGAAAAACTGGGTGTTATATGTCAGGTTTGGTTCCTTTCTGATGGAACAGAATGTCAGACATCAGAGTAAGAAAGACAGTAAATCATACAACCTTTTCTCTTAACAAGAAGCAGAAGTTCTATGAAGCAGCTCAAATTCTATGCAATTGCTGGAAGTTTTCTTTACATGTACGTATACACAAACATAATCACACACACACCCATTTAAAAATATTCAACAATGTTTATAAACATATTAAATAAAAATAATCTATGAGACTGAGATTCTATGAGCCAATGAATAGATATACACTTAAAAAAAAGGGTTTCAAGGTGCCTTATAAGACATTGATTTTAAAAATAGCCTCAGCAAAGAGAATATGTAGCCAGATTGGAGGGCAGGGGAAGGGGAGTGGGGTAGAATTAACTATGCTAGGTCAAATAATATCTGCATAATGCAATACTAATACCATTATTAGAACCAAAACATGAATGAAATCATCACACAACCCCAGCTGTGTGGCAGGTCACAGCCTACAGCAGTAGCACAGTGAAGGTGACAGCCAGGTCATTCACTTGGGCTTAAGAAGACCAACCCGTCAACAAGAGCAAGGTGATGGGCAAAGTTCACACAGGAATGTTGCTTCCTGCATTGTCCCTAAATCCAGGAAACAGGTCACCTCAGTACACCGAGAGCTGCAGACAGGTCTTTGTGTAAGTATCTATCTTCAATTTTCCAGTGAGTAAAGAAAAAGGAAAGATTTCTCTAATCAGTTTTCTGCTCCAATCAGTTCCTTTTCTAGCTTTTCTCAACTTTGCACACCCTTCCTAAAATATATCAGTCCTTTGTAGTCTCTTCACAAACAAGCGGGGGGAGTACTCAAATGCAAGTTAAATGACTAATAACTGTTAAGTGTAAAAAAAATCCTGAAATCTGATCACCAATTAAAATAGACTACTTAGAGCAAACCTAAGACAGGTGTTAAATATGTTTCCATTTTCCCAGGTGATAATTAATCCAGATAGTCAGGGTCCAGTTGGACATGTCAGCTTCCTATGTATTTTACAGTACATTTTCTTAACTTTAATTGTGGCCACCTACACTATGGATAATTTTTTGAGAAATACATTCTCAAAGCTAAAGCAGAAAAGTCTTTGAAACAGACAGGAGAAAAATAAGACATTAAAAATCAAATGCCATCAAGACATCTATATATATTTGTAATTTAAAGCCAACAGTGGAGTATGACAGCTCTAGCCAGTAAATAATATTCTTTAAAATATGCCATACTAGCCTAATGAGGGGAGTCAGACTGACAGATACCTATGACATCAAAGGTGTTCTAATTAAGTTTGCTGATGATACTAAACTGGAAGGAGCTGTTAACTCCATCAAAGGCAGAGAAACCCTGCAGAGAGACCTAGACAAATTAGAGAGCCGGGCAATCACCAATTGCATGAAGTTTAACAAAGACAGGTAACATATGTTGCACCTGGAATGGGGCAACCCTGGATGTAGGTACAGACTGGGGAATGACAGGCTGAAGAGTAACACTGCAGAAAGGGACCTGGGAGTCCTGGTCAATGGCAAGTTGAATGTAAGTCAGCCATGTGTCCTGGCAGCCAGGAGAGCCAACCATGTCCTGGGGTGCATCAGGCACAGCATCCCCAGCTGGTAGAGGGAGGTGATTATCCTACACTACTCTGCACTGGTGCAGCCACACCTCACCTTGAGTACTGTGTGTAGTTTTCATCAGCACATTATAAAAAAAATAAAAAAAGCTACTAGAAATTGTCCAAAGGAGGGCAAAGAAGATATTGAAGGGTCTAGAAGGGAAGCCATGCAAGGAGTGGCTGAGGTCACTTGGTTTGTTCAGTCTGGAGAAGAGGAGACTGCAGGGAGACATCACAGCAGTCTACAGCTTCCTTACA